CATGTTCTAACCTTGTTAATCAGCAGCCTCCAATTGTCTCACAGAATAGACTTCTCTCTCCCTATAGGCTGCAGCTCAAATACCCAGATAACTATGGCCTTGGACTTGAGGTAAACCAAAGGTGAATTTTCTTTCCACATCCTCTTGTGGGCCTGGAGAAAATAGGCCTAGTAAATAGGGCAGGAGAATTCTTATAAAAACAAATCCCAACAGCTACCCTGAAATGATTACTCTATATTGTGTTTGCCCTTTTAGTGTTTTAATTTTTTTTAATTTTAAGTTCTTTTTTATTGTTAGGAGCATGTGCTCTCACCAGCTGAGCCATCCTGCCACCTGCTGGCAGCTCAGTGGCAGCTCAGCTTGGGCTCAGCATCACTGGCCCACGTGGGAATCAAACCGGCGGCCCCATTGCTCAGAGCTCGCGCTCCTAAGCTAGCTCTTAACCAACTGAGCCACTCAGCTGGCCCATGTTTGCCCTTTTAGATTCACAACAAGTGTTCATTAAAATGTGATAGGAGACAGTTCCTATCACAATTTACGTTAGGGGAGTCATTTTTACCCCATTCTTCGCCTTGCCATACATGGGGCTCAACTTCTTCCACCTGCTAAGAGGCAGGAGTGGTGGAAGACACATCTTGTTTCCCTCTCTGTTCATGGCTCTTCATTCTCTCCCATCATCAAGCACTTCTCCACCAATTAAGATAGAGTCTTATACAATGTGAATGATCTTTAGTAATACACAATAATGTACAGGATGATGCGGAGTTGTACTGAAAGTTCTTATTCTCAGTGCTAATCTCCACCATGTCTTCTAATAGCTACAAAACCCAACCCTATGAGGTATTTCAAGGCAACCCTCTGGCATGAGAACTGAGTCACCTAGTAAAACAGTGACTTTTCTGGAAGTCTTCATTAGTCACAGAACTGACCACCCTGATGGTATGACGGCCTGGTCAATATTCCTCAAAGGCACATATCACCCTGGGACATGTAACCCTGGTAGTAACTGGCAGTGTCAGGATTCAAATGCAAGACTGTTTGACCTTGAAGAGAGGCCATCCTCTCTCCATAAAGTTACAAACAGTTCAAATACCAGTTTTTCCAGGAGTTTGTCATATGGCCCTGGACATACTCAAGAGTTCAGTATATCATAGTCAAGATTCTTTTGCTTGCAATGTACAGACGTCAGCTCAAACCTACTTAAGTAAAAGTGAGCACTTTACTGGGTTACCAGGATTATCGCATGAAATCCAAGGCCAGGAGGCGCCATTACAAAAAAACGAGAACAGAAAGTGGAATATCATCAGGAAACAAGACAGCTACTCTCCTTACTCTGCCAGGCTCGCTGCTCTATTGGTGTCCAGTTCAGTCGTCTCTCTCTGAACACTGGGTTTTTTAACTTTTTCACATGCCTGGTCGAAAATAGTTACAGCCCTTCTGCACAGCTCTGCTGCTACAGAACCTCCCAGCTTTCCATAATCATGCAGCCTCTGTCAGGTGGCCATTTTTGTTATGTGTGAAGGACCGTCCCTGCTGGAGCCTGTTTTTATAGTAGGGCATGATGAGTAGACCTCTGAATAGCAGTAAACCACAACATGTCTACATTTCTTCATTTGGAAAAACAGGAAGACTGGATTAGACAATAATAGTTGATAGTCATGAAGTAGTTATCCTGTTTCAGGCACTTGGCAAAGTACTTTACATGTATTATCTCATGAAACCGTGTAACAAACCTATGAGGCAGAAAGTTTATTGCCCCATTTTATAGGTGAGATAAATGGGGCATGAAGACGTTAAGAAGCATGCTCGAGGGCCGGCCGAGTGGCTCAGTTGGTTAAGAGCTCGCTCAAGAGTTTGAGCTCTGAGCAACAGGGTCCCCGGTTTGATTCACGGCCCGAGCTGAGCTGCCGCT